CGCTCGCCTGGCATGCGTGCGGCCCGGGTTCGATCCTCAGCACCACATACCAACAAAGATGTTGTGTCTGCCGAGAACTGAAAAATAAATATATAAAAAAAAATTCTCTCTATCTCACTCTCTCTTTAAAACAAAAACAAGAAAAACCCTTATTGATGCTTACCTTAACCATTTTGAAAAGGAATCTTTTCAAAAAAGGGGACAGAGCAATTGTTTTCTTTCTCTTTTATGGCCACCACCAGTGTGAGCAGATTTTTGTATTGTCTTGTTTTGCAGATCCAACTCTAAAGAAAGAATCATGAATGAGAGATCTACTACCTCATGAAAAAGAAGAGGTCTTGATGAACAACCTGAGATCACCCAGACCTGGGGAAAGGGGAAGGTTGGGGTCCTTCAGTCCCCGGGAGTCGCCACATTTCACTTACTCGAGGGCCTGCCTGTTGGGTGAATTGGAATTATTCACCAAATAAATCACATTCTGTGTGGGACTCTCGTACTGTGAGGGATGGTATAAGAAAAGATGTCGATGGGGTAGCCTGCATGTTTGATTGACCGCTCCTTGGGATGTGGCCTGAGCCTACTCRAGGGCCCCTCTGTGTCTGGTGACTTGGCTCATTGGTTCTGAGCTGTGGTTGGAAGAACTTCAGTTTCACAAGCTCCGCCTCCTCCTGGAGGCATGGATGAAATCCCTTCAGGGGCTGACCCCTTCCTTCCCTCCTCCTGCTSTTACACGCACAGCTTCTCTGGGCTCTCCTTCCCACCATGGCCTGAAAAGCACTGGGAGGGCCTGGTTTCTGTGTTTCAGCAACTAATGAGGTACACTTCCTCCCCTTCACACCGTCCACATTGTCCACCAGGCTCCCGGTGGCCATGGGCAGAGTTGTAACGTGAGGCTTCTGAGCTGGGCAAGGAGACAAAACCGCTCTGCAGATCTTGATTTCTCTTCTCCTTATTTCCCSGTGACCAAAGATAATGGCTGTTAAACAATGAGAGATGTTTTGTTGGTGGTCACCAAATGAATAATCAGCCACAGACACAGTATAAGCATGCCCCAAGTCTTGCTTGACCTTGAATATACTTATGTAGCCTGACAATACAAAGGGTATCTAAGATCAGGAATTAGAATTCAAAGGCCAGGTGTCTGGCCTAAAGATGCCTGATCCATAACTAAAGAAACAYGAGGTCCCTTCTCTAACCAGTGGCTCTGTTCTCTGATTGTTCCTCAGGGTCACTGGAAGCCCATTTCAGGGGAAATGGTATCCAAACTGATTTTTATTTTCTTCATATTGCAGGTCACCTAACCAGAGGGAGCATGTGATGTAGCTATGAGTGTAAGAAAAGAAGTTTTTGTTAAAAATGAGAAGCCACTCATGCTTGTATTCATTACCCAAATCAAAGGAGTCTGGCTCATATTAATATTTCCCATAAGTGCTGGCCACCCCAAAACAAAATTAGTGCTTGAACCYGATAAAAAGAAAACGTTTCAACCCTCTAAAAAAAATAGTTATTGAATGAGAAAAAGAAGGAGAAAATAGCGTCTGATTAGTGACTGGTCATTTGCAAAGTGGTTTCTCCTACATTATCTCATTTTTAAAAAAGTAAATTTGATCACTTTAAATGTTAGAGTGAAGTGGTTCACAATCTCTTGAAATAAGTAAAGGACATTATATTTATAAGCATGCAAGTTGTGAACCAGGCCAAACATTCTCATCTGCTGCTTTATATATTTTTATCAATCATCACAGACTCATGGGGAAGATCTCGAATGGATACAGCTTTAAAATGGATTTTAAGAGATTTTTTTTTTTAACTTATCAGTGTGCTTTTCATGTCTTTCTCTCCTCCCCCAACACTTCTGAAATTTCTTTTTGGTCTCAGTTTCTCTGGTATCTTCCCTTGAATGGTGAACTATGATTATTTGCATTTTGGGTAGATTATTATTTAGCTTGCAAAACAGCATTTCCCTTCATTAAAATCTCTTACTTGCTCAGCTTAAGATAAATGGAATTATTCATCTGTCTCCCCCCACCTCCCCCCCCTTTGGCTACGGGTCAATAAAATAATGTTAAGCAGGAGAGGGTATGGTTGCTGAATGCTTTTAAATGTCACTAAATAATTTCAGGAAGGAGCTGGCTGCCATTGTCCTGAATGATGGATATGCTCCCAACCTTAACAGACATTAATGACTTACACAGTAACAGTTTGCATTATAACCACAGCTGTTCAAAACTTGCATTTTGTAATAGCTATAAACAGGAGTGGRCATTTCCAAAATGTGATAACACACTGAAAAGTGAAAAAACAGAACAAAAGAAGACAAACAAAACCCCGAGACTTCACCAGGAGCCAAGGGTGGCAACCAAGAAAGCAAAAGAAACCAGAGTATAGCCAACCTTTTTTTTTTTTTAATTAGAGTATATTATACTTTCAAACTGGATACACTAGAAATTGGCAATGCAACATAAGATGCAAAGGAATATACCAGTTACTGTCAAAATGACCCTGTACAGCCTTGTAATGCAAAAAGCTTTATACAATACAAATTTTCAGTAATGTACACAAACCTTGACAGTATGATCATCCGAACATAATATGAGGAGTTAAAAAAAAAAAAAAAAGGATAGAAGAAAGTGCTGAGAACCTAACTGCAATGCTATATGGAAAAATAAGCTTGCTTTCATGGAAGAATGCATAGAGAAAACAGAGTTGAAGTTAATTGGTAGGTGAATTTCTCAAAGATGTTAGTGTTTTACGCGGAAAGGATATCTACGGAATACATCCTTCCCTGAGTATCAAACTGCAAACCAAATTCAGGGGTACATATTATCTAGGTGGAGTCTGAAAAATGCTGTAGATTTTTTTCTCTATTAATAACAATAATAATATAAAAAGTCAAACAAACTCCAAACACACCTTTTCTCACTCAGAAAACTTTTTTTTTATATAATTTACCAGAAAGATTGATGACTCTTTCCAAAGTGCTAAAAAAGTCGCCCAATTATATTAAGCATTACTAAGTCATTCAAATACAAGTTCAGTGGCAAGCAGTGAAATGCATGGCATTTGAGCAGTAAATGTCCCCTTCCGTCACTCCTCTCCATCTTGAAAGTTTCCACCCTAGAACCTCTTATTGCACAAGCAGCAAGCTGTACAACCCAGGGTGCTAATCGTCAGGGCCACCCTCTCAGGTTTTGAACCTGCCGGTGCTTAAGTGTGAGTCACCTTTTCTGGCAGCCCCCATGATGTCACYGTGGCCCTCTTTGCTGTCATCACTGAACTTGTAGTTTTGAAAACACATTATTAGCCAAGTGGCACACTCTCCATTATATGGGGATAAAGACATGACTTTAAAAAAACAGCCCCCCTCCCCCAGCCCAGTATTCTTGGAGTATATTGTCCATAACTGTCTATAGTGTCTTTTACTGAGACATTGAGATGGCGAGTTGAACGTTTCAAACAAGGCCAAGGGCAAAGGTCTCTGCTGGAGAATGACTGAGGGTTTGGGAGCTTCCTGCCCTAGCTGGTAGGGCCTCCCTGCCCCCGTGGACATCTCCGGAGTGTAAACAGGTTTGCCAGGGCACAGAGCAGGCTCCCCATCCAGGGCTGGGTGACTGGCGAAGGGAAGGGTAGTGCACCTGATAGGGCTGGGGGCAGGAGGGTTGGTGCAGAGGGGCGAGGGGGAGACCGTGGTGTGGACAGACGTATAGTCTTCTGGCTTCCTGGAGAACTGCACTAACTTCCAAGGGGCTTTTTAGAGAAGCAACTGACTAGAGGAAGAAAATCAGGGATGCATTTATTTTGCCCTGGTGAAACAGATGAAAAWAAAGAAGAATCCCAACTTTAGGATAACACACATTGGGAAAACAGCAACACGGTAAGAAAGCGTTCCTCCTGTACACCAGCTCTTCCATAGATAAATAATACATAAACTTTTATATTCCAAATTTCCCATTACTATACAAAGCACATTTCTTCCCGCTCTTTTAGCCTATTTTATACTGGAAATTCTGTTGTCTTAAAAACCCAAGCAATGAACATATTCAGCCAAAGATTTTTTTCCATTCTTTTTTTTTTTTTTTCTTTTTAAGCCATCCATTATTTTTTAAGATGAGCCAAGGGCTGTGAAACCGATCCACACCTGCTTCCTGCTGCAATAAAGTGCTGCACATAAATTGCCATTTTAATGACCACAAAATAAGAGCTTTAAATAAGTATAAAGTTAGTCTCCTAGCAGGTTACATCTACCAGGCGTTAACAAAATGGAATACAGAGTTATAATCACACGGAGGACATGGCTACAGCCAGAGGATCTGCAGACACAATGGAAACTTCTCAGGGGCATAACTAAACTCAAGGACTCAACAGCACCTTTTTGTTGTGTCATTATGTGTCAAAGAGGTTGTGGCTAAATTTTCAAACATACAGTCTACTCATTCCATAAAAAAGGTACATTTTCTTCCTTTTATCTTTTTTTTCCCCCATGAGAAACAAAAACTAGTGCAAGGCCAAAAGCACTGTGCAAAACTGCCGCTTCATTTTTTTTTTYYTTTTYYTTTTTTTTTTTTTTTTTTAGTCTGAGCATTTATACCCAGAATTTATCCAAACCCCTTTTAATCTCCTTGGCTGGATTTATCAACCATAAAGTTTTCCACTCATACAATTTTTTTTTCTGCAAACAAATGGTAACCACTGAATTAATACATCATATATATATATATTTAATCTGCCCTTAAAAAAAGGATGCGCTGTGTGCGCGCTCCATGCACACTGCTTCCGCATGGGCACGCACAACGACACTTAAGTTTTGTGATGTCAGCTGCAGTGCTGCAAGATATTTCTTGCAGACCAGTCGCTTGATGTCTCGCATCTTCATAACCAGAGAAGATCTGAGCTTGAGGTGTCCAGCACTCTGTGGGAAATGTCCAGCAGCACTGCAGATGCCTGCCATCCCTTCATCCACTGAGCACCAGGCCCTACCACTCTGTAGCTGGAAAATAGAGAGGGAAAGGTGATGAAGGAACTCAGGGAGAAACTGTAGTGGATGAACAGCCCGGGAGGGAGAAGGACGTTCATCCCCGTTCAAGAAGCCAGTACAGAGAATGTGCAACAGAGAAGTCATGGCACGCGACACACGGCTTGCTTTTTGGAATCCACAAACGCCCACACAGCCCATTCACCCAACAGAAAACCAAATGCACCGGTATAGAAGCTTACAAGTGCTGATTGCTATTAAGGACACTCTCTTGAGGGTTTAGAGACAAAATTCCCTTCGGAGAGAAGTAYGGAAGGGCTGGAGTGGGGGCAGGTGGCTGGGGAGGCATGCCTCTGAAGGTAGAAGTATGCAGGGGTCACCTCTCTGAAGGCTGGGGAAAGCAGCTTGTAGGTAATGCCATAGGTATACACACACAGCCAATTCTCTATTCCTTACTAAAGATATACAGTACACGTGGCTCAGACCCCTGGGGCCTGTAGGTTTTGCAGCAACATACACCTGCTGGGGTTGTGTTTAAGTTTTGTGGGTTTTTGTTGTTTGTTTTGTTTCCTGTCTCTGTCTGTTTTTGGTACAGAGCGCAGCTGCCCTCAGACAGTCTCTGCTCTTTCTCTTAGTCCCAGATAGGCGAGGAAGGAGTGTTTGGGGGAGGGGATGCTGGGAGGCGCAGTCTGAGGTCGGGGAGGGTGGAATGTGAGATCCAAGTGGTTCTTGGGGTACAACATGGTCAAGGGAATGAGATGGGCAAAGTCCGAGTTCCGGTACTTGTCAAAGCGCAGAGGGGAGCCATTGAAGGCCAGAGCCTTGAGTGCCAGGTTGGGCTCTGAGCTGCTGCCGTGGGCGGCCGTCAGGGCCACGGTCTGCAGGGCCTGGGAGGCCGACATGACCGACAGGGGAGACAGGAGGTTCCGGGGGCTCCCCACGACCAGGAGCGGGGCCCCGGGGCTGGCCGGTTCCTTGGGCGCTGGACTCGGGCCCTTCTTGTCCTCCTCGGGGCAGTCCCCGCTCTGGTGCTTCTTGACGTGGCGGCTGAAGACGAAAGGGTGTGTGGTCTTGAAGAGGCACTCTTCGCAGCTGAAGGTCTGGCGAGGGGCGTGCTTCAGCTTCTTGTGCAGGTTGAGATTGTCCTTGCGCTTGCAGCTGTAGCTGCACTGGTCACAGTGGAAGGGCCGCTCCCCGGTGTGGACGCGCACGTGCTCGATGAGCTTGTTGGCGGTCTTGGACAGGTAGCCGCACTGGTCACACTTGTAGTGGTTGCCCAGGCGATGCTCCCGGGTGTGCGTCTCCAGCTCCAGCTGGTTGGCCTTCACCGTCTGGCAGATCCGGCACTTGTACTCCATCTTGTAGTGGGTCTTGAGGTGGCACTCCATGGCAGCGGGGCGGTTGGTGGAATAAATGCAGAATGGGCACCTGCCGGGGGGAAGCAATGCAAGGGAGGGTCAGCCGGAAGGGGCCGGTGGCAGCCAGGCTTCTCCCCTCCYCATCAGCCTGCCCTCACCCCAGCCCAGCCCTGCCGCCTCTCAGGGGTGGAGATGGCCCTTTTTGGCTTTCACTGGTGACAGAGCAGTCCCCGCTAGCGGGGAGCTCCGCCGAGGTCCGCTCAGCCTGTTCTGGGACTCCTGGCTGCAAGGGCCAAGGCCAGCCCTCATGAGGGGACCAGAGAAACTGCGAGGAATACACAAGCTGGCGCTCCCTCCAGCCCACCACCCGACCCCTGGGAGCCCTCCCCGCTCCCGACCAGACATGGCAGAGGTCTAAACCTCCTGACCGTCCCCCTAGATGGGAGCAACACAAAGAATCGACTTTTCATGCACCACACCAAGCACACGCAGAAAGGCTAAGAGGTTTTAAAGAACAGCTTTAGGGGAGAGCTACTTCCAGCAAAAAGAAAGTCACAGGGGTCAGAGTCGTGCTTATTAAAGGGTTGTTAGGATGAGAAGGCCTGTGTGTGTCCCTGTGTGTGTGTGKGGGTGTGTGTGTRTGCATATGAAAACATAGAACGTATCTCCTGTAGCTCATCAGAAAGGAAGCAGAGGACTGTGCAGGGCTGCGGGGAGACGGAGACCTCCCAGCAGCCGTCCATTCAGGGGGGTCTGGAGGAAGGAGGGGGACTGCTCTGGAACTTGAAGACCTCTCAGTAYGTTATTATGCCAGATCATCGATTCTCAGAGGGCAGGAGCAGTTCTTAAGTCTCTTCTGCATTCTCTATGGTGCTAGGGAGAGCACTCAGCACGGGGAAAGCCCGTGGGACATGCTGAGCCCTTATATGAGTGGTCTCTACAAGTGTCTGCAGTGGAGTCGGAGGGGTGGGCTTGAGTCCCGGCTCCATCACCTTATGGGCTCTAACTGGAGACCCTGGACAAAGCCTGGGCCTCTCTGTGACTCTGTTYTCCATCCTTCGCAGCACAGACAGGCCGCTGCCAACCCTCCCGGCTGTCCAGAGAGGCTGCGAGGAGTGGTGGAGGCGTGTTTACAAAAATTGTGGGGCCTCTCTTTTGGACACTGCTGGGTTTTGAGTCGGTGGCTGAAATGATAACTGAAGCGTGTTTGCTCTCTTTCCAAAAAGAATGCAGATGCCCAAATGGCTGCCTCAACTCTTGCATTGGCTCCTGCAGGGCAGGGCCTGGGAGTGGACTGTCCTCAGAGGGTTTGGAGAGGTGTTCAGCAGAGCCCAACACAACCAGGTGCACCGTGCACTGCCTCCTCAGCGCCAAGCTCGCCGTTAGCCTTGAACCTCAGCTCACAGAAGAGTGCACACGAGAGAAATATAAAGCCCATTCCCAGGTCAGGTGCACACACAACCCCTACGCCAAGCTGGGCCTTACCTAGAGGAGTCTGAAACTCACCACTGTCCTGAGCTACGGCAAAAGAAAAATAATAGTATAATCTTATTTGATCTGCATTATGAACAGGATATAGAGTACAAGCAGTTCCATCACAGAAAAGCAATTTAGACGTCGGCGGTCTGTTTCATGTTAAGGACATTTCTGTGACCCACAGCTCAATCTTTCTCTCGCTGCTCAGGCAAAGTGCTAAGGGTTTTCCGTGCTCCCAATGTTTATCTTAAAGACACTCTCTCAGGCAAATTAATTCCCTGATATGGCGAAGGAAACAAAACAAAACAAAACAAAGACTCACTGTATAGCCAGAAGGCATTATCAATTTTTTCAAAGTATTCTTCTACTTGGTCATCCTAGAACATAAACTATCACACAGGGGACGGTTAGCACCGCACAGGAAGTGTCTGGCCCAGCAAATGCATCAGGTTCATTGTGCATTCTCCCCCACGGGTTCAGAGGCTCGGGACTGCTTAGGCCCCTGAGGAAAGGCGACTGGCAAAGCCACAACAGGCGAGGCCACAAAGTAATGGGCGTCACTGGGCTACCGGGAAGGCAATGTCACTAGTCCATCCACAGAAAGCTGGGTTCATCTTTCTTTTTATACCAATTACTTATAAAGGGACAGTGGGAACAAACCAAATCAAGTCCCCAAATAAGGTCTTGYTAGGCATTTTCCATCTACTGGTTGAGTGAATTATAACCACCCTTCCCCACCCCCTCCCTCTCCTTCCCACCCGAGTGCCCCCAAGAGTGAACCAAAGTGGAGCCGACAGTAGGTGCTGTCTGCTGCCTCTTCCATTTGGGCAGGTTTTGGAGGAGGATGCCCCCGACCAGGCAGGAGCTCAGGGGAGTCAACCCTGCACTGCCCTCGGTGCTAGACTACCAGGGCCCTTCTGGGCTCTCCATTCCTTACCCACACAGGGAGGCACGCCACCTCTCTGGTTAGTTGAGTCTCAATGATGAAAATTTTTTTCAAATGAAAGTTTTATTTTTCCCCATATTAAGTAAAACATATATTTCTATTCTTTTCACTACACGATCGTTTCAGTTAATATTTAATAATTCTGCCTTGACAATTGTCTTTCTGTGCCCAAAAACGTGTGCTTCCCTCTTCTCAGTGTACCATAAGGGCCTTGTGGACGGGGACTCTGATCTCAGACTCACTGGGAAGATTAAATTCTGGGAGTGTTAGCACATACACTTCCTGAGGGTGGAAATTATATTTTATTCCTTGTGTGCCCTTTAGCACCTGTTATCAAGCCAGACACACAGTATGTTTGGTAATAACTGACTGGTCTCACTTGAGACCTGAGGGCTTCTTGCAAATATTGGATAAAGATGAGGCTCCTTGTCTAGATCTTTCGGGGAAGGCACTGGTAGGTTCGTAGGAAGGGGTGAAGCACATGATCTTTGTATGAAAAATGTTATCTCCTGCCTGGTCAAACTGCCAAGGTTCCAATTGTGGGTGGGGTGGAATGGTCATAAGGCTTATTTAAAAGATATATGGCAAGCCGTTTGAAAATCAGAGTTGGTGCATTGTAGTGACAGTGTAATGATTGACACCCAGGGACACTAACCCCTGAATCCATTAAAATCAAGTGTGCACGAGACTCAGACAGTGCAGGATGGGTCTACCCTTGCAGGTGGGCTTGTCCAGCACATCTTCTTCCTTGCCCTGAATCTGGGGATATTTGTGAAATGGATTCTCCTGCTGGCATCTGCTGACCCCCCCCTGGGGGACAGGTCTAATTCAATCCAGCTAAAGGCAGCAGAGGTTTCTGACTAACTTCCCTCAAACCAAGCTCTCCCACTCCATGACCCCCAAAACCTCAGGGAAGGGGAAGGGCAAGGGCAAGGGTGTTTGGTAACAACGCAGTAAAAGGTTCTGTACTTGCTTTCCTTACTTGAGCCCACCGGTGGGGACAGTGTGGCATTTCTTATGCTCCAGCAGCTGTTCGGGGGTCTTCATGAACTTGTGGCACACGTCACACTCAAACATCCGGGTGATGAGGTGTATCTGCAAATGGCGCTCAAACATGTTCTTCGTCTTGCAGACAAAGTTGCAAAAAACGCATTCGAACCCTGAAAGGACCGAAGCTGGGTGTAGAGGCGCATGTAGGAGGCAGGAGTGGGGCTGAGGTTCCCCCCATCACCCACCCCGTGCCTCCCCACAGATGCACCTCCCAGGTACCGTTCCCTGCATCTCTATACAAAACACACAGCCTCAGGGTCAATGTCACCCTCTCCAATCTTTCCACCTTGCATTTGGAAACAAACCGAGCCAAAATAAAATGTGATTTTCTGCGTCCTGGTCCTGCTCTCTGCACACTGTACCGCATCCTGGGCCTAATAATCCTTTCCTCTCCAGGGCTCATTCTCAAGACTGGGTCATCGTGGACTGGACAGGGCTTAGCAGGCCACGTTCACCTCCTCCCTCACCTTTYTCTGGCTTTTCCTCGCTGTTCAGCGAGGGCTGGCTCCCAGGCACGACAGAGATGACCAGCAGATTGTTCCCGCCCTTGTTCTTCTGGGAGCCATCTGAATCGTCTTTGCTGTTGGCCGAGTCACTCAGAGCTGAGAGGGAGGATGAAGAGGGACTATTTGATTCGCTGGGGGTCTTCCTGTCTTCCCCTGAAATATGAAAACAACCCAGATCTGTTAGCCTGGGAGACGAAAACCCTTGGAATGACAGCAGCTGAGGGTGGGGGAGTCGGGTCTCACGGATGCACCACGGTTCTGCTGAGGCTTCCAGCTCCCACCAGTGCACTCCCTGGGGCTCCAGTTCCTAGTGCTTCTGTGGCGGTGGCATGCAAGGTTCTCAGAGCCAAGAGCAGGCATTCATGCCTTTGAGAAATATTCATTGAGGTCTTACAATAATTAGAATCTAATGATAACAATGGCTAAGATGTACTGAACATGGTGCTAAGTTCCAGAAACTGTGACACTTTAAATGTGTTATCTCTAAATTCTATCCTCTCAAAAATCCTAGGAAGCTGGGTGCGGTAATGCATGCCTGTAACCCCAGCACCTCTGGAGGGTGAGGCAGGAGGATTGCGAGTTCAAAGCCAGCCTTTATCTAAATATAAAAAAGGGCTTAGGATACAGCTTAGTAGTTAAGTGTTCCTGAGTTCAATACCCCCCCCCCGCCCGCCCCGTACTCCCCCTCCAAAAAAAAAGGCCTGGGAGGGTATCTCAGTGGCAGAGCATGCATTTAGCATGCATGAGACCCTGGGTTCAAACAAAAATTCTATCAGCACAACTATTGCCATTTTGCCGATGAGGGGATGGAGGCACAGGATAAACCTGGCCTAGGTCATGTGGCCACTAAGTGGTGGAGGAGTTTAAGTTGTTCTGCCTCCAGTGTCCATGGTCCTCAGTGCCCCAGGCTCCTCCTTAAAGCCAGGCATAAACAAATCAAATAGGTCACTAAAATCTGTGTCGGGAGACTGCAGTTGCTACTCATGTTGGAATATCAGGAACTGGACCTAACATTGCTATGAAACAACTAAGAAAAAAGAAAGTGCAGACAAAATACATCAAACAGTAGTTTTTACAACACTGGGCATGAGGTGATGAAGCATAATGGCCCCTGAGAGCCAAGACAGGATGGGTGAGGCCTGGGACTGCTCAGCCTCCTGCCCTGAGCTCTGTCCCACGCTGCGGTGCATCAGGGAGAAGACAGGTCCCAGATGCAGGAGGCAGAGCTGAGCAACTGGAGAGATCCTCATGAATAGCCATTGCCAGACAGGGCATCAGAGCTCACAGAGGAACCTGAGACCTGCAGAGGGTGCCCTTTGAGTCTTTAGCACAGCATGGGTGAAGCTGTGTGCAAGGAAGCTACCCAAGACCAGAAAAACGCCACTTGAGCTCAGTGCCTGGCATTTGCACCCACACAGGGCTGGAAACAGCTGTCTGCATCAGCCAGATCAGAAAAACACATAATTCACAGGGCATTAGGCAGGTCTCTTAGTAGTGGGTAATAATTAGCCCTGGAGAGATCAATGCTTTATGATCCAGGCCTGCTAACAAATCATAAAAGTAAGACTCAAGAGGATCAAAGTTTCCAAGTAATTATCTGTGACCTAGAACAAAGGTCAATAATACTTACAGGAGTATAGAAAATATTGAATACCAATATGTAAAACCATGATGTCTGGTATCTAAACAAAGATTATCAGGCATGTGAAGAAACAAGAAACTCAACCCAAAATGGGGAGAAGAATCAATCAACTAAAACTAACCTAGAACTGGTGCCATTAGAATTTATAGACCAGAACATTAAAAATATATCTCATATATTAAAATGTTAAGCACAGATGTGGATGATATGAACAAGATCCTAGTCAAATTCTACAGATAGAAACTCCAAGGTCAGAGGTAGAGCCATATATTGATGAGATTATAGCAGATTAAGACATGGCAGAAGAAAAGGTTAGTGAAATAGAAGGCTAACAGCCATAGAAAACTCTCTGAAATGAAACAGAAAAAGAATTGCCCAAAATGAAATGAGCACCAGTAAATGATGAGACTTCAGGCACCTTAGTGTAAGTCCTGAGAGGCTACTTGAGGAGGGTATAAAAAAAATCTGAAATGAACAAAATTTTTCCAAATTTGAGGAAAACCACAAACTCCTAGATCCAAGAAGATCAATTAACCTCAAGCCTAAGATACATGAAGAAATCCAYACCAAAGAGCATTATCATTAAATTGTGAATCCAAGTGGTTAAGAAAAATGTCCTAAGAGTACACAGAGGGGGAAAAGAAAAAAAACAACACAAAACCCCAACATGTTATATTCAGAACAACAAAGCTGAATGAAAACATGTTTCAAAAGTGACGGCAAAAACACCAAAAAAGGTTGACATTAAAAAAGATGAAAGAGTTTGTCGCCAGCAGACTCATATTATGAGAAACGTTAAAAGGGGCTCTTGAGGCAGAAGGAAAATGAGACCAAATGCAAAAAAGGGTTACATAACAGAATGAAGACTCCTGGAAACGATAAGTAAATTTATGTTTCCGTCTTAGTATTGAAATATTTTCAGAGATAATAAAAGTAGTTTTGCTGAAACAAAAATAACAACAGTTCACTGTCAGGTTTAAAACACATGCATATAAATATTTGACAATAATAAAGGCTGGGCAGGGAGAAATGGAAGTACACTATTTTAAGTTTCTTATACTATGTAGGAAGTGGTATAATCACTTGAAGTTATACTGTAGTAAATTAACAATGTACTTTATAAGCCCCACGTAACTGGAGAATTATCCACTGTTTCTGATTCAGGAAAGTTGTTAAGATGTCAATGCTCCCCAAACTGATGAACAGATTGGACACAACTCCAGAATTTAAATTAGGGTAGAAAACACCAGAAAACTGTTCTTTGGTTTCCTTCAAATTCGTTAGTTAAGGAACTTATTGATTATAAACCCTGAGAACTTCCTTTATTAGGACATTAGAAATAAATAATATACTACTTATAGGCATGAAAGTCTAGAAATAATGCTGTCATGATGGGTTAATGAGTAGGGTTTAATATTGTTAGCATAATGCTTGTTTTTTTATTATTTGAACTTCAAAATTTTCTAGCGTGACCATATATTATTTGTTCAGTTGAAGAAAGTTTTTAAAAAGAAAGAAGGGCTGAGGGCACAGTTCCGTGGTAGAGTGTGTGCTCAGCATGCCCAAGGTGCTGGGTGGGATCCATCCCCAGCAAAAAATAAAACAAACAAAAATAACAAAACAAAAGTACAGAGAGAAAGAGAGAGAGAGGGATAAAAAGGAAAAAAAAATTCATCACTTAGAATGTTTTCAAATCCTACTTCTGTGAGAATGCACTTAGGTCCAGGGTAGACAATTCTCACTTCAGTTCATAATGTTTAAAATCTTGTTTCTATCAGAACTGAACATGGCTTCTGGACAGAGAGTATGTGACTATGTGAAGGGATGGTATGTGCCTTCAAAATATGCAGTCTTCCCTTGGAACAAAGAAGCTATGTGAAAACTAGCTTAGTGGTAGAGCACGTGCCTAACAGGTGCAAGACCCTGGGTCCAATTCCCGGCATCCGAGAGTATTATAACTAGTGCCATAAATGCCAGTCCTTTATCTGTATGTTTAATCAACTAATTCACATTCTGTAGACAAATAGAACATTTTCATTGAAGGCCTCAAATCCTTGACATTACTTCTCCAAATCTATGTTCTAAGCCTGGTCTTACTGACCGTCTATTTAATACTTATTAAAAAATGTTTTCAGAATTGAAACATATTAATTTCAATTACTATCTTTAAAATTCAATTCAAATATCCTGAGGCTTAAGGCACTGGGCAGAGCTACATAAATTGGTAAATTTATAAAGATACAAGGTGCTATGTCAGCCACTCTCTGAGACTACACAGGAATACAGCCCAGCTCACTTGATCTCTGGTCCAAACAGCCTCCCCTGCTTCCAGTCCTCCTCTCCTATTGCAATGTCTGCAGGGGGTAGGCCAGGGTGCCCTTGCCACCTAAATSCAAAGCTAACTGTGATGGAAGTGGTCATTTACCATTGGCATCATAAAGATTCTTGGTGAAGGACACTTGTGCACTCTCACACATTAGGGTAACCCTCTGTAGGGAATTTTTAAGGGGAAAAAAAAAAAACAAAACAAATGTTTCACGATTTAAAACAAAACAAATTGAAAAATTGTGGCCAAAAGGTTGCCAGTTATCTTACTGCCTCAACATAAGCACTATTGTATTTTGGTGTACTTCTTTTCAGTCTTAAAAAGATAAACATCTGTTTTTAAATTTTTGTCATTCATTGTATAGTGGTTAAGAATAAGGATCTTAGGCCAGGTGCAGTGGTACATGCCTATAATCAATCCCTGGGCAACTTGGTGAGGCCCTGTCTCTAAGTAAAAAGGGGTTGGGGATGGAGCTTAATGGTGCACCACTTACCTAGTACATGTGAGGTCCTGGGTTCAATCCCCAATACTGCCTGCCCACCCACTTTCTGCCCATGAAAACAATAAGGACTCAGAATTCCTGAGTTTGAATACCAATTAATAGCTGATGAGTTTGGATAAGATACTTTATTTTATGACTCAATTATTATGTCTGTAAATGGGTTATATAAGCACTTGCTTTCTATGGTTGTTTGAGAATTAAATTATATATATATATATTTCTTCATAAATATATATATAATTATTTGGCTAGACATGGTTCTTCATGGTATATATATATGATTTCCCCTGCTGTTTTACATATTTGGTACATAGTTGGCTTCCAAAAATTTTTGTGAAAGCATTCATAAGTTAATCATTTTAAATGATAGCATTAAATCCTAGACCATGTTCCTAGACTAGAAGCTATTTTATAGAACCTGGACCTAGAACCCAGACTTAAAATCACACTTGTATTTTCCTCCACAACAAGTAACTTCTGCATAGATTACATTTGTAAGTCAACTGAGCTCTAAGGTTTGATCAAGGGCCAAGTCTGAATGTTCTTCCCACTCATAATGCAAGACGCAAGATGTGAACAGAGGAATTTGTGCACATATGTCCATTCATCAAGTGAACAGCTACTCCTCACACTGTGCAGGGATTGTTCTGGGCAGTGACTTAGACAAGCTCCCTATTCTAAGACTATATATTATAATAAATGTCATATAGCACAACTATTGCTTTCATAATAACTTCACAATAATACAGCTTATTCATGTACAGATTTAGATGGAAAGATTTTGGGTCAAATTCAGACACCTCAAAACAGCACTAAATATAGGAAATGTTCACTGTGAAATTGTTAGCTTATAGAAGGCATTGGCAACTATAGCTTCTTGTCTCTAATGGACTTCCTGTTCTTGTAAATAAAGTTTTATTGGAATAYGGCCATTCATTTGTGTACTGTCTATGATAACTTTCAAGTTCTAGTGGCAGAATTGAATTGTAATGGCAGAAACCGCATGACCTGAGAGCCTAGAATATTTATTATCTGGCCTTGCAAAAGGTTTGCAAAGCACTGGCTTAAAAAATACATTCTAATAAAGAGCTCAAAAAGTTGAATACTAACAAAACAAATAACCCAAACAATAAATGGGCCAAGGACTTGAACAGACACTTCTCAGAAATATATATATATATATATATACAAATATATAAATATATATATATATATACAAATATATAAAAAAAATGTATATATATAAAAAATGTTCATCATCGCTAGCAATTAGAGAAATGCAAATCAAAACCACTCTAAGATATCATCTCACTCCAGTCAGAATGGCAGCTATTATGAAGACAAACAACAATAAGTGTTGATGAGGATGTGGGGAAAAAGGCACACTCATACATTGCTGGTGGGACTGCAAACTGGTGCAGCCAATATGGAAAGCAGTATGGAGATTTCTTGGAAAACTGGGAATGGAACCACCATTTGACCCAGCTGTCCCTCTCCTAGGTCTATGCCCAAAGGACTGATTTTTTAATCAGTTTTTAACTGATTAAAAACAGCATACTACAGGGACACAGCCACATCAATGTTTATAGCTAAACTGTGGAACCAACCTAGATGYCATTCAATAGATGAATGGATAAAAAAAATGAGGCATATATACACAATGGAATATCACTCAGCAATAAAAGAGAATAAAATCATGGCATTTGCAGGTAAATGGATGGAGTTAGAGAAGATAATACTAAGTGAAGTTAGCCAGTCCCAAAAAACCAAATGCCGAGTGTTTTCTCTGATATAAGGAGGCTGATTCATAGTGAGGTAGGGAGGGGGAGCATGGGAGGAATAGACCAACTCTAGATAAGGCAGAGGGGTGGGAGGGGGGGGCATGGGATTACAAATGATGGTGGAATGTGATGATCATTATTTTCCAAAGTGCAGGTATGAAGACATGAATTGGTGTGAGTATACGTTGTATACAACCAGAGATATGAAAAATTGTGCTCTCTATGTGTAATAAGAATTGTAATGCATTCCGCTGTCATATGTAAGTAAAAAAAAATACATTCTCATCTTATTCTAATAGTAGCAGCATTAAAAGCTTTTGGTAAATAACAAAAGAGACTTCTTTAAGGAATTTTGGTCTTGGCTCTCTGTATTAACAAGTAAGAATATTGTCCCCAGCTAGATAGGGAGCTGCGCCACTCCAGAGGGAACAGGATCTCCCCTCTGTTCCCCCTGGTAATTAGGAGGTGAGGTTGCTTGCATTGACCAGCCAACACGGTGAGGTTTCCATCAATGATAAGTGATGCTAAGCCCACCTCTTCCAGCCACTAAGTTTCTACAGTTTCTCTGAGGTGGGGTGGGGGGGTGGAGAGGGCTGCAGAGCATTCTAGGATGGAGACCCAGACATATGTTGGGGTAAAGAGGGTTGAAGAAGGAAGGTTTCACAGAAAAAAAAGAGTCTCTTTGAAGCCAGTGGAGATGAGAAGGAAGCTGGCCTTTCCCTCCATGAGCCACTCCAGAAACTCTGAATTTAATTTGTCTTCAACGTGAGTTTCCCAGCTCACCTGCTGCCCGTGGTGCTAATGTGGTTATGGTCAGACAGCCGACTGTAAAAATGGCACCTTTTCACTCAGCATAATGACTCTCTGCAGACCTCCAAGTCATAGCTGCTCAGTTTACTGACAAAAACAAGCTTTTATTGCTGTTGGCACCACTGAGCCAAAGCAGCCAAAGAAGCACAGAGAACTCCTTATCGGCCATGCTCATCGTCAGCACAACTGTCAGGGAACTTCCCCTTCCGGAATCCTCCAGCAGCCGGTGATGTAAGGGGCTGACCCAACACCCGGGGGCTGGCAGTTAGCAGCATCAGCTTTTAATTTCTAAGCACCACAAATGTGGGGTTGCTGGGGGAGGTCTTCCTCATTCTCACTGAATGACTCCACGCTGGTGTCATTTGTAACCATCACTTGTGAGAGTCTAATTGCATGGTTAAGTCAAAATGTTAACATCATTAAATGGAARAAGTTAACCAGGATGGCAAGAGGCTCCAGTGAGAGGCGAGGGCCGGCCAAGTCTTGTTAGGTTTGTTTCAGGAGAATCTGGTTATCTTTGCCCTTGATCAGAGGTGCCATGTGTCACTATGGGGAGTGTCAGGGCTACGAGTTCTCTGGAAGGGAACGGAGCCTGCAGAGTTAGGTGCTCAGTGCCCTGGCGCAGAGAAACAGAAAGGTTTAATAAAAGCTCTGCCAGGTGTTTTGTGGGACAGAGCAGGCTGTGGAAGGAAAACYGTCCTGGGCTGAGTTGCTCAAGTCACGTCCAGGTTGCTGGCCTTKGACAGAATTCCGTTAAGCCTCAGTTCTTCCATCTACATGTTGTGGTAACAATAATACTCACCTCAGAGCATTGCTAAGAGGTTTAAATGGCATCCAGTGTGCAAAGGCACAACCTGGGGCAAGGAAAGACCTCAAGACCGCTATGTATGACAATGAGCAAGAAGCCGCGGTACAAGGACTCGGCTCACACCTCTCAAAAGCATCCAAACCCGGGCATCTTCCACATCAGTGAGGCCCAGGCCGAGCCAGGCAATGACGTTGTGACTGCGGGGCAATGTGGCCCAGATGTTCTGGAAAAGTCCTTCCTTCTATGGACATAGAAGGAAAAAGTCCTTCCTTCTATGGATGGACAGCCTGAAACTCGGGGTTTTGTAGCAACTAACCTTCTATGGAAGGAAATGCCAAGGTCTCGTGGCAGCAAGGATGCTTCTGCCATGTGGCAGGCAATCTGGGGTGCAAGGGATGCAGAAAGGGGAGAAGGACTGACAGGAGTGGTCACCTGTGTGCTTGGTGCCAATGTGAGCCTTGATCTCCGCTTCCTCCATGGTGACAAAGTCGCAGGCGGTGCAGCAGATGGAAAACATCCACTGCTCCTTGTCCACGTGGAGTGACATGTGGCTGACAAACTGGACATTGAGCTCWGTCTCAAATCCACACACGTGGCAGCTACACGAAAGGACAAAAGGAAAGAGGGAGAGTGAGACATGCTTCCCGTGTGTGCGGCATGGCGCGTGTAGTGTGTGCGTGTAGCGTGATCACAAAAACTAGTTTTGCACGCATCTTCTCTCCACCAAAAGGTATCATGTTAGAAAATTCTGCTTCCTGGGATGCCTCTGAAGTGGTCACTGTGCCAAACGGATTAGGTGCCAGCATAATGTAACAATCCCATACACGCTATAATGATGTTAAATAATCATAAAGTTAATTAAAAACTACAGCTTCCAGATGCTGCACATCGCCTAACTGATTCCTTTGGGCAAAGAGATGCAGGGCGGTGCAGCCAAGGTATTTAGCGGTGCTGGTCCACTGATAAAATTGGAGTGTGCTGCACACCCGGAGCCTCTCTCTGGCTCTGGAAACCTTCCTGAGCAGCAAGGAAAGCACACACAGGTTGTCCTGTGGCATGCAAAACCTCGGGCAGTCCTGTCCGTGATAACTCCTGATAGAAGCCACCCCGCCTCAGAGACGYGTTGCCAAAGCAAGTATCCAACAATATCTCGAGGCAACATTTGGTAGCGAGCCTGATACCTGGACTTTTATGGTGACTGAACCAAATATTGATTCACCTTTGACTATGGACATTGCTGGGACTAAAGGGCACATAACCAAGGGACAATATGTGATGTCTTCTGAGCTATTTCCTCCTGGGGTTCTCAGATTTATTTTTCCTCATCTTTTTTTCCTGCAATTCTTAGGTGGCAGCAAGGGGCTCAGTTACAAAGTTCGGGACCACACAGACCCAAGAGCCGATCATCCCAGAGCCCTGCCACTCTCTGGAGCTCCGTTCCACAGAGGTCCTCCAAGACCCCTTCTCTTTCAATTAACTCGTCTAGGCCAAACTGCAGAGGAGTCCCTGCCACACAGGGTTGGAGCTAAGCAAAGACCGTATTCAAATGAAGATCTGCATGTGATTGAGACCAGGGCCTTGTGACACAGGCCCCGGGGGAAGACTGGCTGAGAGCCTGAGAACAAGGGGTCTGGGCGGCCCCACTGTGTGCTCGTCCTCAACTCACCTGTAATAATAAGGGTGTTTCTTCCCGTCACTGCCTTCAGAGGTGACGGCGCTGACAATGTCCTCGGTGTCTGTACTCACCAGCTTCACAGAATGGACAGTCAAGTGCTGGTTCAGATTCGCACGGCACTTAGCAGCATAGGGGCACAAGTGGCATTTGTATTTTCTTTCCTCTGGGGGGAGAACAAACAGGAATAAACCCAAACTGCTCTCAAAAAATGAAATCTCGACCCCTGGCAAGACGTCACTGAAGTGCACCAAGGAGAGGAGGAGTCGAGGCTCATTTCAGACGAGGACAAAGGTCACACCTTGGAATAGCAAGTGTCTCAAGCACCCAGCAGTTTGTGCCTGTATTAATCCTCCCAAAGATCAAAGAGGGGCTCCCAGGGCCATACCTCTGAGCAAGACTTGACGGACAGCCTGAAACACGGGTTCTGTAGCGACTAACCAAATACAGACGCAACGCTGAATATGGAGGCCAAACGTCACACTGCAGGGCTGATGGGCCACAACYTGGGACAGCACATATGCCTCCTGGGACACTTCCCTGGAGTTCTTCCTGACAAGGTGAGCCCCACAGGGGCTGAAGGGTACCGTGTGTGCGTGTGTGTGTGTGTGCCCCTATGTGTCAGTGTGAGGTGCTGAGCCCGGCAGCAGAACAAAATCAACATTCACAGCTCTGGAGAGTAAGAGAGGCCCATCATTTTCCCTAAGCTCCCAGCCTGGGTCAAACATGAAATAACAACTAATGAAATTAAAGTAAAAAAAAAATGACTTGTATAAAATAATTTAATTGGACACTTTCATTGAACATAAATAAAATAAAAAATTTCAATTAATTTCTTAATGGAAATTCTCATAAAACTGACTAATGTTTCAGGATTGTTTCCAGAGTGGCATTCTGAATTCATTTGGTTAATCAAGCAAATTAAAGGACAAGGAGCAGGGCTTTGCTTTCATTCTACAGACAGAGGCAGTGAAGAACCACAGCACAGCCTCCCTTTCCATCCCTAATCTGACTTGGTATTTCTGCGCTTGGGTAGAAGAAAATGCCTGTCTTGTTTACATCACAGGAAGAACCTGGGAAAGAAGGTGTTTCTACACCACACGAAGCATCACCGTTATCACAGGWGGTCCCCAGCACCTGAAGGGTGCTGCGGATTCGGGGGGAGTGGTCCTACAGCACAGGTTATTACACAGAGCCCTTTAGAATCTTTGCATTTGTGTCAGTCAGTGAGGCTGCGGAGCTTTGCTATGTATTAAGGTTACACTTTCTCCCTAAACTGAATTGCGAGCTTTCTCTCTTTTTCCTGTCACTTGGGAAGGATTTAACCACCTTGGAATTTCTGATTCTCAAAAGGTGAGAAAGAACTCATCTGGGAGAAKTTTTGGAGCTCTTTCTTTCCTACTTTTGGGTATATTTTCCTCCTTTGCTTTTCTTAATGAAACTTAAGTGAAGTTGTCTCTTTGGGGGTCATCTCCTTCCTATTACTGGCCTGTAATCCCAGTAGCTTGGGAGGCTGAGGCAGGAGGACTGCCTCAGCAACTCAGTGAGACCCTGTCACTATATAAAATATAAAAAGGGCTGGGGATGTGGCTCTGCAGTTAAGCACCTCTGGGTTCAACCCCTGGTATAAAAACAAAACAAAGGAACTAAAATCAGCACACTATAGCGGACACGCACACTAATGTTTACAGCAGACCACTATACAACAGCCAGGTTAWGGAATCAGCCCAGGCGCCTGTCAATGGGTRAATGGATAAAGAGTGAAGTGATGTCTTCACTTATTTTTTTTACTGGTTATGTTATTGTTTACTCCTGTTTTACTCCTTGTGAATTTGGCTCCTTCCCCCATTCTTAGAATCACCCATTATTTGTCTACTGTTAAATGTAAAGGAGGGCTGGTCTTAAGGAACTTGTTTTAAGCAGACTCAGTGATGGCCACCTCGTACTGCTCCACCCAAGTCTCCCTCGTGTAAGAGTGCACACTATGGTTTCTAGAATAGTCTCCAACGTTCAGGAAACTGAAAAGACCAAGGTGGCCCCTTCGCCACTGTTCCACCATGAGACGAAACCACTAGGACAGGGTGAGGCCTCTTCCCCTGCACCTCTGAGAGGAGACTGTCCACCTGCTGGAGAGCTCAACATTGTCCCCTGGCATGTGGAAATGTGTGTGTCTCCTTCCTCGGTCCTCCCTGGAGCTCAGTGAACTTCCCAGTACAAACAGAAAAGCCTTCCTGGGTCTTGCTTCAACATGCAGGCTATGAGGCCCCGGAGGCCGAGGTGGACACCTTTCCTCCACTTCCTGAGCCATTTCTCTCAGGGGAACTCCACTTCTTCCAGAGGCTGGTGACAGTCAGGAGGACGTGGCAGGGAGGTGCCCGCTCACCTGTGTGCAGCGAGAGGTGTCGGGACAGGGTCTGCTGTCGGCCAAACACTTTCCCACACACGTCGCAGGGGAAAAGCTGGTCGTTGAATTTCCAGGATGGCAATCCGTTTCCCGCCTCCAGGACTATCTTTTCTGTTTCTGGTGAAGAGAATAAAGAGTCATGAGGAGGGACTGGGCAGCAGGGAGGCACTTCATTTTGGTCAACCTGAGGGCTATGGCAGAGGCCTTCTCCCAATGGATGCGGTTCGTGACTGCAAACAAGACCCACGGCTGGTCCTCATGCTCATTTCCTGTCTCTGAGGAGGCCACTCGAGAAAGGTGAGGTGGCATCCAGTGAATTGCAACTCCCAAGTCTTTAGCTGACCCAATCCCCAAGTGATTGACAGCATTGTGCCCAGTATACTATAGGCACTCAATAAATACTTTCTGAATGAATGGTTGAACTGCATGCTAAAATCTTAGAAATGTAAACTGTTGCCTCAAGATACTAAACACAGTCTTCTACATCTCAGATTCCAGTGCAAATATCAAAAGTCCCATCTCATACTGCCCTTTACGGAGAAAGCTTTGTCCTGTGTTCTGGGTTGGGCAAAATTCTTAGCCAGGAACTTGTTTTAAGCAGATCCAGGGATAGTCACCACGTACTGCTCCACCCAAGACTCCCTCGTGCAAGAGTGCACAACTATGGTTTCTAGAATAGTCTCCAGTGTTTAGGAAACTGGTGAGTGACCTGCACGTGACTCACAGCCATGGATAAGTGGACATGAAAACTTCCCATTTTAAAAAGTTTTTCTTGGGCTGGGGTTGTGGCCCAATGATAGAGTGCTTGCCTCACATATGTGAGGCACTAGGTTCGATCCTCAGCACTACATAAAAATAAAAACAAAATAAAGATATTGTGCCCATGTATAACTAAAAAAAATTTTTAAAAAATAAAAAAATGTTTTCCTTTTTTCCTAACCATCTGCAGGATTACCTCCCATTTTCCTGTCCATACTTCTCAATGAACTGATTTACAAACATCCCTTCTGCAGTAAGGAGACAGGGGGCAGTGCCAACAAGAGGTAAGGGGACACGTCCAAGGGGACACTCATCCAGGCCTCCTCTGAAGACGCTTTGAGTTAGTGTCTTGTCCTTTACCTCCGTGATTGTGAATCTCAAAGCACAGGACCCCATCACAGAACCCAACACCACCACGTGGTGCTAATTAACTGATGGGAAGAACTTTTCATAAAAAAAAAAAAAAAAAAGAACTTTTCATAAGACCCAAGCGACGGAAATGCTGAGACCACTGGTCAGAGGTAACGGCAGGAAAAGCACTCTACTTCACACAATTTGGCTAAAACTGCTTCCCAAACACACTCTTCCACCTGTATTTGGGTAACTGGATCGATTTTCATTTGAATGAAGATCTGCCAGATGGCCTCACCTAAGGAAAGAAGAAACAAATAGGGACCTGTGTTTGGAGATGGGGGATGGCGACACTGCAGTTCTGTTTGCCGGGAGGCTCCTGCCAGCAAGCCCAGCACTGATAACACACACTTACTTGTTGACTGATCTGTGTTGGTTAAAACTCGCTCTCTGGGCCTGGGGAGAAGAGCTGGTCCTATTAAGGTAGGATGATGAGGGACTCAAAACAGCTGAGAGGCAAGGGGTGGGGTTGTGGGGAAGGCAGGGTGAAAGGGAGGCACGGGCCAGGTGAGCTTCTGAAGGCAAGAGCCACTCTCAGACAGGGCCAGGTGAGCTTCTGAAGGCAAGAGCCACTCTCAGACAACGTCCTTGAGCCCAAGCAGTGGGCAGGCCAGCCACACCGTCACGAGAGGGTGTTTCAGGCAGTTCCTTTTAAGTGTGCAATCCAAACAGCACTTCAAAGGAGGACGACAGTAATAATGATTAGGAGAGGTCAAGAGGGTACAGGGTCTTTGAAAACTTTCCCAGCAAGAAGGAATGAATTGGGTCACAGACCCACCAAGTAGGTGCAATTAAAAATAAAGAAGTCTCTTAATGATTCTTTCAAGTATCAGTCATGTCCTTGGAGAAGCTGGAGCACCACTGAAGTCCGTTCCCTTCGTGGCCTAGAAAACCATCCCTGAAGCTCAATGTGAGGCCAGCGGGTCTCCCGGTGAGGGCTCTTAGAAGGGGTCACCTCAGCCCTGCACGAGACCCCAGCCTTGTCCGGGTGGCTCCCATCCCCTCTGATGTCTGCATCAACCACAGCAATCTGTCTCCCTTCCCCAGGTAGGAGCAAGGCCATCTGACCCTATCCCAGAAGGGACAGGACCTGAGAAGCCATGGGAAGGCGTTTGGCCTCGGAGAACTTTGGAACCCAGGGCAAGACAGGACCAGACTTGTGCCTCTTCCCCATTTCCACCCAAATGAACGTGAAAACCTCAGAATCATTTTTTGATGTCTCCCCTTCCTTCTTTCAGCACATCTCAGCAGTCACCCAAACTGCCCATYTCACCTCAGAGATCTTTCTAGAAAGAACCTTCTACTTTAATGGAATCATTATCTCTCACCAAGATTGTTGCCAAACCCCCCAAACAGCTTCTCGGCTGCCAAGTTTCAGCCTTCCTGCAGCCCCTCCTCCCCCCAGAGGCTCCACGGAGCTCTTCCTGGGGCACAAGTCTGATCATGTCTTGCCTGTATTCCAAACGCCTTCCTGTGGCTTCTGAGGTCCTCCACTGTCCTACAYCAGCCTCCTGCCATCACCCAGTCGCTGGTCGGAGTGGGAACCAAGGATTTCCTTCTAAAGCCGTCGATGCTTTTAAATCAACTCTTTTCCACCAACAGCTGCTCCCACACCACCACTTCTGCACACCACCCCGACTTGCTCTCAAGGCCTCTCTCAGATTCCATCCCCTCGATGCAGCTTCTCCAGTTCCCTAGAATCAACTTCCCCTCCTCATCCCCGAAGGCCTTCTAGAAAGACTTCCATGGCACCACTTTGCCCCGTCTATTATTTGTTCACATAATGCTACAGTTTGGAGACTGAATGCTTCCTAAAGGCCCACGAATTAAAGGCTTAGTCTCCAGCTCAGGGCACTATTGAGAGGCAATGGAACTTTAGGAGGTGGGGCCTAGCGGGAGGCATTTAAGTCATTGGGGTCATGCCCTCTAAGGGGATACTGGAACCCAGATCCTCTGCTTCTGCCTGCCATGTGTTGAGTAGGGTGCTTCCCTGTGAACTTCCTTCCACATGTGTCCCTCACCACAGGCCCAAGGTAACAGGGCCAACTGACCACGRACTGGAACCTCTGRAACTGTGAGCCAAAATAAGCCTTACCTCTTTTTAAGTTGATCATTACAGGCATTGTGTTATAGTAATGGAAAGTGGATCACCTACACATGTCTATATATCTATCAATATAACGTAAAGCACACGGCACAGCTCAACAAGCAGCAGAGCTTCCTATGGAGGTTCTGTGGCCTGCCTTCCCTGGTAGACTGTCAAGTCCCTGGGGGATGAGGCTCTGTGTGATTTACCTATGGACCCTCGGCATGAGCACAGTACTTGATACACTATCAGTGCTTAGTATATATTTGTTTAATAAATGAATGACTGAATGAAAGGGTCCAAGTGAGACGGGCACAACTGGAACTTACCAGTATTAATTAAGGTCTATCACCAACTCAAGGGGAAATATAAAGCTACCTGCCTTCCAAACAGGCATTTTAACGTCACTCAAGAGAGGTGCTTTTATGATTCTATTAGTGGAAAGGTTTGCAGTCCTGTGCCATACTCCCAAAGATTTTATATCCTTATTTCCTCCCAACAGCATGAAACCACAAGTTGATTCTCTTTAAGACAGTCTCTCTGGCAGGCACGGGTTAACCCAATGGCCACATTCAACTTTCCTTCTCCCTGCCCTCTCCTACTATGAAGGCAGCTAGGGCAGCTATGTGCTAAAGTGCTGGTCAATGAAAAGGCTAAAGCCTRGGGATTTTCTGATAAAAGGAAAGATATGATGGGATGTTGGTTGTCTTCTTTTTCCTGCCTTGATCACAGAAGAAATGTCTGGGATTGTGGCAGCCATTCTGTGAATATGAAGCATGAGGATAAGATGATGTCCATCTGCCAGGATGAAGTGAAGGAAAGATGAAAGAGCTCAGGGTCCTTGATGGTATTTCTCTGTAGCTGATTGAATGCTAGGGATCACCCACCTCTGGACTTCTTGTTTTATGAGGAAAATAAGTCCCTGTTTGTTTTAGCCATGGTTAGCTGGCTGATTTTCTTAACTGAAAACCCTTCCTGGGGCAACTCTTGGCTTAGGACTTTGGATATTAGGTTCTAGCTTTTGACAAGCTTTTTCCCAAACCCCAGCACTCTTTGAAGACCTCTCCGTATTCACTATCAGCAGCAATGTGTGCAGCCAGCTRAACCCATTTCCACATTTCCATCTTAATTATCTTCTTCTGTTCTGCTTAAGAAAACTTACAACCTTCTTTTAGATTATCAAGGAATTTGATTTTTGACAATTTTTCRCTGACACATAATATATAAAACAGAAAAGTATACATGTCAGTAACTGATTTTGAATCAGTTCCAAAGTCCCCAGAGTAGAATACAGGCATTTAAAAAAAAATGTGGATTTTCTTCATCTGTAATCTCATACCCCTTAGTATTTGTTTCATTAATTTAAGAAAAAGCAGCAGCAAATGTATACTTTAGATCTCCATTTCTTTTCGAACAAAATACTTGTCTAATAATAATCTTTTTTTACTCAGAGTCTCAGAGGACATCATCTCCTTAATTTGCTTTTCATACACCACTCTGAACCCTGAAATATACATAAATTACACCCATTAACTCCTGGTTACTTGGTGTTATGCATTCGGATGTTTCTCTCTCTATTTTCCCACCTTGAACATCMTTTGGGTCGTTTTTCTTGTTGGTGGTGCTGAGGATTGAACTCAGGGCCTCACACGTGCCCAAACACTGAGCTACASCCCCTGCTAAGTTTTTCTGTTCAATGAAGCAAAGGGGTGTGCAGAAGGGAGCCCTTCTATCCCCCAGTACAGCTGGAAAAACAGGAGCAGAGTGTTAGGGGAACCCCCTCGACTCTGCACWGTGCATCTCAGTTCTTTATGAACTGAGTTTATAGTGAACTGAGGCCCCTTATCCATGGTGATGAGGT